TGTTAAGCTACTTCAATTGTAAGAACAAACCGATAACTTCAAACTTTCATATCTTGCTGTTTGGAGTTCTCAGTGTTAAGCTACTTCAATTGTAAGAACAAACCGATAACTTCAAACTTTCATATCTTGCTGTTTGGAGTTCTCAGTGTTAAGCTACTTCAATTGCAAGAGAAAACCGATAACTTCAAACTCTCCTATCTTGCTGTTGTTAAGCTACTTCAATTCAAGCACAGATTATTAAAACAACTGACTGTATCAACAGCTTTTATAAAGTCGTTCTGAATGCAAGAAAGTGCTAAATATTAGGCGTATTATAAAAACACTGATACAAAGTTTGGTTTGTATACTTACAGAAAATATAATCTGTACTGACATTAGTCGGTATTATTATGGACACATGAGGTTGTTGTCGTTGTTCTTGTTATTAGTTGGAACATCTGCGCTTTGCCCATGGCAGGGAGTCGAACCCCAGATTGAAGCGTTGTAAGTAGTAAACTTACCGCTGACCTACTGGGGAACGGATTGTTGTTACGTCACTATCACGTAATCCAATATTTCTATCACCGAAACATTGATGATAGATTCATTTTGTATTTGGGGGGAGATTAAAGAATTCAACGTGTTATTTTTCTTTGTATATTATTATTAATTATTTAAAAATCCTGCACTCTTTTGTGTGTGTGTGTGTGTATTATTCCGCCGACGTACGCCCTCTTCTTTATCTCCTCTACGTGATCTCTTATAGAAAGTGTATTATTTTCGAACTGTCAAGCTTCGTTTGCACGAATCTCTCTCAGGAGCTAACTCATTAAAGTCACCATAACCGTTTACTGGACAATAAAAATGCAAGCCCTCCCGACAGCAATTGCGGGCTTCAGAGCAGAACAGTTAATAGCGTCATAAAATTTTTGTTTGTTTTAGAGCTATGTCCATCGCGGGGAATCGAGCCCCGCATTTTAGCATTGTAAGTCCGTAAACTTACCGCTGTTCCATCGGGAGGACAGGCCATAGAAAGGGAATACTGAATGTTATGATACTTTTTAGCCTATTAATAACAACATGAAACAGGTTTTATCTTTTGCGGCAAATCTTAACCTTAACTTATAGCAGAGTATCTACCTCATCCACCCGCCCGACCTCCTGAGCAGGTCCCCTATTGCACCCCCACCCCAGGCCTAAAAAGTGAGCTTTGGTTTGATATTTATAGGGAGCTTTTTAAGGTCCAGTGAAAAACGGTATGTAAATACATTCAAGGCGGCCGAGTGTATTAGTTAATTGTTGATAATCATGTAACTTTGTT